TTAAAGCTCTGCTGTGTTTCCAGGACCTGGACCCTCCTGGGTTAAAGCTCTGGTGTGTTTCCAGGACCTGGACCCTCCTGGGTTAAAGCTCTGGTGTGTTATCAGGACCTGGACCCTCCTGGGTTAAAGCTCTGGTGTGTTTCCAGGACCTGGACCCTCCTGGGTTAAAGCTCTGGTGTGTTTTTAGGACCTGGACCCTCCTGGGTTAAAGCTCTGGTGTGTTAGCAGGACCTGGACCCTCCTGGGTTAAAGCTCTGGTGTGTTAGCAGGACCTGGACCCTCCTGGGTTAAAGCTCTGGTGTGTTAGCAGGACCTGGACCCTCCTGGGTTAAAGCTCTGGTGTGTTAGCAGGACCTGGACCCTCCTGGGTTAAAGCTCTGGTGTGTTAGCAGGACCTGGACCTTCCTGGGTTAAAGCTCTGGTGTGTTAGCAGGACCTGGACCCTCCTGGGTTAAAGCTCTGGTGTGTTAGCAGGACCTGGACCCTCCTGGGTTAAAGCTCTGGTGTGTTAGCAGGATCTGGACTCTCCTGGGTTAAAGCTCTGGTGTGTTTCCAGGATCTGGACTCTCCTGGGTTAAAGCTCTGGTGTGTTTCCAGGACCTGGACCCTCCTGGGTCAAAGCTCTGGTGTGTTAGCAGGACCTGGACCCTCCTGGGTTAAAGCTCTGGTGTGTTAGCAGGACCTGGACCCTCCTGGGTTAAAGCTCTGGTGTGTTTCCAGGACCTGGACCCTCCTGGGTTAAAGCTCTGGTGTGTTTCCAGGACCTGGACCCTCCTGGGTAAAAGCTCTGGTCTGTTAGCAGGACCTGGACCCTCCTGGGTTAAAGCTCTGGTGTGTTTCCAGGACCTGGACCCTCCTGGGTTAAAGCTCTGGTGTGTTTCCAGGACCTGGACCCTCCTGGGTTAAAGCTCTGGTGTGTTTCCAGGACCTGGACCCTCCTGGATTAAAGCTCTGGTGTGTTTCCAGGACCTGGACCCTCCTGGGTTAAAGCTCTGGTGTGTTTCCAGGACCTGGACCCTCCTGTGTTAAAGCTCTGGTGTGTTTCCAGGACCTGGACCCTCCTGAGTTAAAGCTCTGGTGTGTTTCCAGGACCTGGACCCTCCTGGGTTAAAGCTCTGGTGTGTTTCCAGGACCTGGACCCTCCTGGGTTAAAGCTCTGGTGTGTTTTCCAGGACCTGGACCCTCCTGGGTTAAAGCTCTGGTGTGTTTCCAGGACCTGGACCCTCCTGGGTTAAAGCTCTGGTGTGTTTCCAGGACCTGGACCCTCCTGGGTTAAAGCTCTGGTGTGTTTCCAGGACCTGGACCCTCCTGGGTTAAAGCTCTGGTGTGTTTCCAGGACCTGGACCCTCCTGGGTTAAAGCTCTGGTGTGTTTCCAGGACCTGGACCCTCCTGGGTTAAAGCTCTGGTGTGTTTCCAGGACCTGGACCCTCCTGGGTTAAAGCTCTGGTGTGTTTCCAGGACCTGGACCCTCCTGGGTTAAAGCTCTGGTGTGTTTCCAGGACCTGGACCCTCCTGGATTAAAGCTCTGGTGTGTTTCCAGGACCTGGACCCTCCTGGGTTAAAGCTCTGGTGTGTTTCCAGGACCTGGACCCTCCTGGGTTAAAGCTCTGGTGTGTTTCCAGGACCTGGACCCTCCTGGGTTAAAGCTCTGGTGTGTTTCCAGGACCTGGACCCTCCTGGATTAAAGCTCTGGTGTGTTTCCAGGACCTGGACCCTCCTGGGTTAAAGCTCTGGTGTGTTTCCAGGACCTGGACCCTCCTGGGTTAAAGCTCTGGTGTGTTTCCAGGACCTGGACCCTCCTGGGTTAAAGCTCTGGTGTGTTTCCAGGACCTGGACCCTCCTGGGTTAAAGCTCTGGTGTGTTTCCAGGACCTGGACTCTCCTGGGTTAAAGCTCTGGTGTGTTTCCAGGACCTGGACCCTCCTGGGTTAAAGCTCTGGTGTGTTTCCAGGACCTGGACCCTCCTGGGTTAAAGCTCTGGTGTGTTTCCAGGACCTGGACTCTCCTGGGTTAAAGCTCTGGTGTGTTTCCAGGACCTGGACCCTCCTGGATTAAAGCTCTGGTGTGTTTCCAGGACCTGGACCCTCCTGGGTTAAAGCTCTGGTGTGTTTCCAGGACCTGGACCCTCCTGGGTTAAAGCTCTGGTGTGTTAGCAGGACCTCGACCTTCCTGGGTCAAAGCTCTGGTGTGTTTCCAGGGCCTGGACCCTCCTGGGTTAAAGCTCTGGTGTGTTTCCAGGACCTGGACCCTCCTGGGTTAAAGCTCTGGTGTGTTTCCAGGACCTGGACCCTCCTGGGTTAAAGCTCTGCTGTGTTTCCAGGACCTGGACCCTCCTGGGTTAAAGCTCTGGTGTGTTTCCAGGACCTGAACCCTCCTGGATTAAAGCTCTGGTGTGTTTCCAGGACCTGGACCCTCCTGGATTAAAGCTCTGGTGTGTTAGCAGGACCTGGACTCTCCTGGGTTAAAGCTCTGGTGTGTTTCCAGGACCTGTACCCTCCTGGGTTAAAGCTCTGGTGTGTTTCCAGGACCTGGACCCTGCTGGATTAAAGCTCTGGTGTGTTTCCAGGACCTGGACCCTCCTGGGTTAAAGCTCTGGTGTGTTTCCACGACCTGGACCCTCCTGGGTTAAAGCTCTGGTGTGTTTCCAGGACCTGGACCCTCCTGGGTTAAAGCTCTGGTGTGTTTCCAGGACCTGGACCCTCCTGGATTAAAGCTCTGGTGTGTTTCCAGGACCTGGACCCTCCTGGGTTAAAGCTCTGGTGTGTTTCCAGGACCTGGACCCTCCTGGGTTAAAGCTCTGGTGTGTTAGCAGGACCTCGACCTTCCTGGGTCAAAGCTCTGGTGTGTTTCCAGGACCTGGACCCTCCTGGGTTAAAGCTCTGGTGTGTTAGCAGGACCTCGACCTTCCTGGGTTAAAGCTCTGGTGTGTTTCCAGGACCTGGACCCTCCTGGGTTAAAGCTCTGGTGTGTTTCCAGGACCTGGACCCTCCTGGGTTAAAGCTCTGGTCTGTTTCCAGGACCTGGACCCTCTTGGGTTAAAGCTGGCACTGATACACGTCACGCGTTAGACTGTGCTTCTATTTTTTCCCCTAAACTGCCAGATTGGAAACATCCCAACCTGGCAACAATGCATGTCAGACAGGAAACATTAGCCTTTAGCTGCAAAACCCCATCATGCACAGCAACATATTTTTGCTAAATATTCTAACATAAATTCACCAAATATAAGAGGAGCATCGTAGTTTGGTTTAAAGAAAGCATTTTAGTTTTATTCTTATTTAATTTGTTGCAAGGATTTTACAGTTTGAAGAAATAGAAAATGACACCATATGCCAACCGTCTCCAGGATGAGCATGACAAGGAAGGGCTATAAATACTGCAGGCATCATTTAGGGAGTTAACATTGCATTACTGCTGCAGCTCCTTCAGTTATTTACTGTCACAGGTAGGAGCTGCGGCTGGAGAGGAAGTGTTGGAGCCGCTATGATTTAAGGAGGGCCGACCCTCACCAGAAATTAGGACCGGCCCTCTGGGAAAATGCCCGCCATCACAGATTAGCAGCTCTGGATGCTTCAAAATGTTCAGAAGCTGCAGCAGCTGACGATCATTTCTGCTCTGATCCACAAGGTGGAGCTAAATCACAGGAGATTCTGTTCTCTTCTACTTCAGCCTCTCTGGGAGCAGTTGGAGGGTGTGGGGGTCCAGCCCTACTCACAGCCCCCCACCCCCCCCCCCCCCCACCCCCCCTCCCGTTACAAACATTTTATGCTGTTTGTTTTTTCCAATAATGACCTTTTTACAATTTGGTTTATTGATAATATTCCAAAAAGTCTTTAGCTTTTATCAAACTTCATATCTAAGCTGCCTCTGTCAGGGCGTTACGCATCTAGTTCTATATTTCTGTTGCTGGCAGAGTTTGAAGACAAGAAACGTGACGCTGCAGATGTTTGTGGACTAGTTGAGGCCTGCTGAGAAGCACTAAGGAAGTGAGATGTGTTCACTTCCCCCATAGGAAGACATGCAGCAGTCAGACAGGGCAGCTCAAAGGCGTAGACCTCAACGTGTAGAAGTCACATCACAGCACAAACGTTCAATTTGTAGTCTCAGTGACTCCCAGTGAGCCTTTAGCATCCTGAAGGGGAACTTGAAGTGACTCTAAATGTCAGCCTGTTGCTCAACGCTGCTGTGATGAAAGGAGCTTCACCCACCTGCAGACCTTCAGGGTTGGATGGAGCTTCCTCCGCTGATCTGCGCTCAGAAACACGTCAGGGAGAAAACATCCCTTCCTCCTCATCAACCTCCATTCATCCCTGAATCATCACATTAGTCCTCCTTCTCAATAAGGGATTCAATTCTGTTCAGACTTTCAGTCACATCCAGTTTTACTTTTTACCTTTTTCTTTTTTGCTTTTCTGTTTTATTCATTCATCTTTTTTAGTAAATAATCTGGCAAAATTCAGATAATCTAAAGTCTTCACAAAAGGCCATTAATTAACAGCTTCTTCTCAAAAGAACGATGAATAAATTTATAAGCTGAAAAAATAAATAAAATGCGATGGAAACTATTAGAGTAGAACAGATATAAATAAAGTCAGTCGCTGGTTTCCTTGGAAACGTCGAACCTTTAATCTGGATGATTGAACTGAATAGTTTCTGCAAAGATCTAATTCAGTGCTATAGAAATAAACTGAATAGAATGAAACTGAATAATGGAAATTGGTTTGTTTCAGTAGAAGCATAAAACATGTAAATACTGAAAGAATAATTAATGTATTTTCTCTTTTTATTAGGTTGTTTTTATTTCTTTGGTTCATTTTCATTGTTTTCCTTCAGTTTGGTTTCTTGTTTTTGGTTCTTTAATGTTGAATAAATTAGAGGTGAATTAATTATTGGGTATTGGTGTGACTGCAGGCTCTCTGGGCCTCCTGCTCTCTGGCCTGACGAACAGCTGACATGTTGGTCAGATTTAAAAAAGGAAGTAAAGAAAGAATTTGTGAAGG